AATGACTGCTCCACATGAATTCTGTGCCAAAACACAGAACATTTTCAGAACCTAATATCAAATCAGTTACTCTTATCACAGGTTTACTTATGTTAGTCATATCCTGTTATTTCCCAATTGCCTATTTTAGCAGTCTTAACAAGTAAAATACTTTTTAATAGTATGTTTTAATAATAGCTCTGTCATGACTAAGTTCTTATGGTATTGTAACACACAAAACTTTGACATTTTCATCCTTCCAGAGTTGTTTTTCTTATACAATCATATCTGAGTGTAGTATTCAAAAACTAATGTCTTTCACACATTTTACATATCCTCAACACACACACATAAACCATCTAATCACAATTTTCTTGCAGGACTGAAAGTGGAAGTGCCTGACACCCACTACTTCCTTTCTGAGTTATAAACCTAGAAGTTAGAAATCTGAGCTTAATGCTTATACAAGTTTAGAATCACCAAAAGGCTTTTGACATCTTTATACTGAAATCACACGTACAGAGGAAACATTTCATATTATTCAAGAAATGATGCTTCAACTCTACATATACCTACACACAGAGAAAGAAGCTAGGAAAGCATGAGCAACTGTTGTACTGCAGACTGATATCCAACAGCCATTTCTAAAGAAGTTGTTTCACCCCATTGCCATTGCTCCAGCAATTCAACTTTAGGGTTAAAAAAAGGCCTGTGTGATTTGTCATCTCTACCACATATACAGACAACAAATTCCAGTGGCTTTCATTAAAAAGTGAACTCACAGGCTGATGGTGATGGATTGTTATTACCATGTCATTCATTTAGGAGCTACGTACACAACAGTGTTAATGAGAAGCCTAAACAAGGTTCTTTGCTGTATGATCACTGGAGCCTTAGAGGCATTTATAACAAGCATCCTTTAAATCCCCCGAGTATCCTAATAACACAAATCTCAGACTTTGCACGTTTCCCATGAAACTGTGGGTGACATACTTTTAGAAGCATATAAATAATTCTGATTTTGAAGAGAGGGAAAGGAGAAAGCTTACGTCTGTGCATCTCCCGGTAAAGGATGGTGAGTGCCTGCAAGGAATTATCATCTGTAGGCTCAAGTGCTGCTACTTCTTGTGCCAGAGCATACGCTTCATCCTGCTTGCCAGTCCTCTGCAAGCCAATTGCCTTCAGAACCTATCGACACAAGGGAGAGGCAGCTGTTAGGAGCACAGTTGGCAGTTACCAGTGAAAACCCTCTCATTCTTGGTGGGGAGAAGCTTTGCCCAACCACCTCATTACTTCTCCAGACCTTCAGGTTTTATTAGGCTTCTAATCCATACGGCATAGAGGAAAACTTCCAAATGCAAGCTGTATCAATCGTGTGGCTTCGCACTTCTTTAACAGACATGCAGGCTGCTCTAAGGCATCAACCACCACTCAGCTCTCTCAGCCTGGAGACTGAAAACTGACCAGACCTGCCTACATGATACGGTGTGGGTGAGAACAGCCCCAGATGTTCCTGAGGGCTCAGGAAACACGCTGGTCTCTGGAAGATCCTGGACACCACACCTCAGAGCTATGCTCACCAAAGGAGGTCTGCACCACAGTCACACTTACCTTTGCACAGTGAAGATCCTTGTGTTTTTTGAGCAGCTTATCTGCTTGCTGGATTGCCATTTTATTATTGCCATTGTCCAGATAATCTGCAGAAGAACAACATACACAGCATTACACCAGAACACAAGACCATTCTGGAAAGCTACCTCCAATTTTACCGTGGAGTGTGTGCTGCAGGCCAGTAGTGCAAACCCCATTTCCCTTGTACAATTACTACTAAGCCTAACATTCCGGAAACATGTCACTTTGTAGATGAAGTATTCATCTGCTGTACCAGTTTTAGTCATTCAAACAAACAAGCTTTTGTAATTACTCCACACAGATCATTACAGCAACAAAAGAGACATAATAGAACGGGTTCTGCAGCAACAGCTCTTTGCTAGCAATGATGCTGAGCCTCTTGGCTTCAGCCAAAGCTAGAATTCATTTGGTGTGCCTTTGGGAGACTTTCAATGACTTTTAACAGGCAGCAGGTTGGAAACTAAGCACTCAACATCTATCAAAGCATTAAGTGAGTAAACCTACTTGTCCACAAGATCCATACCTCAGGCAGAGCCAATGTGTCCCCTAACAGAGCATCACTATCTTTCACCAGCAATGTTTTTATTTCCTGGGGGAGATCCAACTGCCAAGTAAAGCTTCAGCTGCAGAAACCCCAAAGCCCAGCCTCAAGACTATTTTCTCCTTTATTCAGCTCAGTGTTCACCACTGAGCACATCATCACGTCACTGTACAATTACAAGCAGTTTTAGATTAGAACACGAGCCCTATGCCTCACCCTCCTCAAAACCTAACCAAAACCTACCAGAAAAAGCTTAGCTGCACCTGAGGTGCCAACAGGGAAGGGTCTGCTCCCATCGTCCTGGCCTCTCCCCATCAAACTGAACAGAGCCAACAGGAGTTAACCGAAATTACATTGACATCTTTTTCTCATCAAGTCTGTAGTTCTCATTATGAAAAACCTCTTTTACTGAGGTGACCTTAGTAATTCCTGGGATATGGCACAAAGTGTGCATCTATGCTGATGAGATTTATAGCCAGCAGCTTCCACATTTGCTTCCATGGCCGAGTAAGTGCTGCAGATTTAATGTGGAGCTAATTGGGCTCCTGAGACAATGCAGACAAAACCTCAAGCAAGGCAGCCTGCCCACACCAACCAAAACAAAATGCTGCAGCATGAAATATAGTTTGATGCTGTAAGACACTGTCTGTCCATGGGTTAGATAGCTGTTTTAACTTGAGAAAGCCTGTGCATCACCTTCAACATCAAAACTTAAGCAGGGATTTCTCAGTGAAGAGGTTCCAAACCCATGGAACACAACGTTCTGGTCATGTCTTCACACACCAGCAGAGACTTTGTGATTTAAGGATCTGTGTTGCACAGCTCACACAGGCTGCACTGCCTGTCTTGGATTACTTAACAACTGTACTGATAACATCTCCACTTCAGCTCTCTTAAGGTAAATCAAATAAACCACAAACTTCTCTAAACTGCAGCACAATAAAGAGACTGTATTTTGCTAACAACAAGTAAGTTTGTTGGAAGCCAAAGTACTGGCAACTTCCAAAGGAATTCGAGGGAAAGGGAAAGCAACTTCAGCCTACATTAGTTGCAAGTCTGGAGGTGGAGATGTTCAGTGGCTGGAAAGGCAACACGTGAATGAACCTCCAGGTGAAGGGAGAACAGGATGGAAGATAAATGTAGCTGTCGAGGAAACCTGAGCAACCAGGCACACGGTGCAAACCCACAACACTGGTTTAAGTCAAGAATCAGACCTTCAGCCTCATGCTGCACATGTCCAGGTTGTGATTGCTGTGAAGTCCTGTTTCCCTCTTGAGGACACACACTTTGTTTTGGGTTCTGCAGCACCAAAGCCTGGATTCCAACCTTACACTGCAGATAATCCTTTCTAGAACTAGCAGAAAGCTCTTTCAAAGCTGCCTCTGAAAGGAATACAGTGAAATACATCTCAGCATCATCTGCTTTAATGTCGGTTGAGTTCACCAAGCTTTTTCTTTTAAGAAGGCTTAAAGATGTTACACAGGTTATAACACAAAGAATCACACATTACTAACAATAGCATGTACAGAAAACTACGGAAAACTCTTAAAACTGTTACAAGAACACAAACCACGCTGCTGCACTCGTGATTATGGGGTGAATTTTAAGACAGCTGCATGTTTACTCTTCTAACCAAACACAGCTATCCCCCTCCACCTCACTGGAACCATCATGAATGCAAGTCTACAACCGCACCATTCTCACAGCATAGGATATCCCTGAAGCATCCCAACGAGGGCAGCTCTCCACCTTCCAAGGAAGTCATTTTCTTCTAATGGTGAAAGAAGTTGAGAACATCCTCCTAAATCTCTGTCCAATCCTCAATTTTAGAGAATAAACGACACTGTAGCCTGGGGAAGCATTTTTCTCCTCTCTTTCCCTATATTTGCATACACAGAGCCAAGCTTGCCTCCAGTCTCTTAAGCAACCCCAATTACATGTAATACCCTTGGAAATATTGGCGAAAGCTTAATACAGGAGGTTTCTTAACAAGACCATCTTTTAACTACTTCGCTCTTTTCTCCCAATTACCTCCCAGAGCACCGTAATTAACCTGTGTCACAGCACTTCAAAATACAACTTTAAGGCACCCGCGACTGCCCCTGCTCCTTTTATGAACTCATCCTTTTCCAGCTTCTCTGCAGCAAGAAACAAACACCGACCAGAGCTGCACTGACTGAAAGAGGCGCAGATACCCCCCTCCCCATGGGTACTGCCCCTCCGCGCATCACCCCGGACCCGGAGGGGGGGGGTCCGCATGAGGATCCCCTTGAAGGAAGCGCCGCTGCTCGCAAGAAGACGCGCAGCGGGGACGGACCCCGGGTCCCCCCAAACTCCCGCTTCCAGCCCCGGGTGGGAGCCGGGACCGACCCGCACCCCACAGGCTCCCCGGGGCAGCGGCGGGAGGCTCCTCCGGAGGGAGCAGCCGGGATGGGGCCGCGCTCCCCGCCCCCGAGGATGGAGCGGGAGAGGCGGGCGGGCGGGCGGCGGGGCCCGCCGGAGCAGCCAGCGAGCGCTCGCCGGGCCGGGCCGGGCCCCTCCGCGCCGTGCTCAGGGGCCGCCGGGCGGGTCGGGGCAGCACCGCGATGCGGCGGGGGCAAGGCCGGGAGCGGGGCTGGGGGCTCGCGGGGTCCGTACCGTAGATGGGCCGCAAGCGCCGGTCGTTGGGGTCCTGCACATGGCCCCGCGCCGCCATGATGAGAGCGCAGAACCGCAGTGCGCAGCCGCCGGCCGGGCCGGCCCGGGGCGGGGGTGAAGGGGCCGGTAGGAAGCACGGGGCGGAGCCGGGCCCGGAGTCGGGAGCCGGGGGAGCTGCGGGAGGGGACCGAGGCTGGTCCGGTCCGGTCTGGTCCGGGTGTGTGTTTCCCAGTCCCACCCCGCCGTGCCCAGGCCGGGGGAGCCCCAGCCCGCTCCTCGCCTGAGGGGAGGGAGCCGCGGCCCCGGCTCCGGCAGCGCCCTGCCCGCCGTGAGGGACTGAGGGAAGGGGGGCCCTGCCCTGCCCTGCGGCCCCCGGGCACAAAATGGCCATCGCGGCCGTTAGCGAGGCGGAAACGCGGCTCTGCGGGAACTGGTAAGAAACGAAACCGAGCGCTGGGGGCGGCTCCGTTCAAACGCTGCGGAGCACTGGAACGTGCGGGGTAATCACGAACGGATTATCCTCCAGGAACGGTGGGGGTTTGGGCTTTACCGTGCCTTGTGATGTTCCCAACTCCTGCTGAAGTTTCTGGGTTAGCAGGCGACTGAGTAGAAACCGAAAGATCCAAAGCAGAGCGTTCGGGTAGAAATAAAGATGTGAATCTGATGAACTCCACGAGTCCCAAGTTTTCCTTTAGCAGCTCCACGGCTCAGCAGCAGATGTACAAATAGAGTCAGTAGGAACGGATCGCTGTGGCCTTGTTTCTCTTTGATAACAGTTCCCTTCGCAGCGGCTCCGATGTCAGCCATGCATTCACTGATAACGATGAAACCTCGGGAGTGCATCGGGAACAGAAGCAGCTACAGAAACTCACTTATTTTTTCCTCAGAGATACCAGAATCCGAACGAGTTTCTTGCAGCATCGGAGGAGTTGGTTCGCAAGCAGCCACTTTGTGCAGCTGAGCCACTGCTGCTGCGCTTTGTTGCTTTGCCAGGGCATTGGCTGCTTGGGGTCTGACAAGGGAGAGAACGGAATGTTTGGTCATTACAGAAGGCTTGTAATGACCTTCCTTTGTGATACGGAAGGCACTGAGGAATAGGGTATAAAGTTAATGATGGTGTTTTGAAGGCTGATTTCTTTGGGGGGAGAGGATGGAGGATAGATCCATCTGGAAGTGATGCTTCCCTGCTTGAGGCAGGAGTAAGAGCAAAGCTCCCAGTGCCTCAGTTCTTTTTGGACCTTTTGTGTTTGTAAGCCGTGCATCCTCCTCAAGACAGGAAAATATCTGTCTTAGAAATGAGTTGGGAAACTTTGGCCATGGAGTAAATGCAGTTACTGCTCCTTCACTGGGCAGATCTGGCCTGACAGGATCTGATATTTATATTCTCCAAGCAGAGCTCTGTTCTACCTCTCATAGCCAAGTTATTTCAGGAAGAAATCTTCCCAGATTAGTTCATTCACTTAAACCTGGCGATGGCTTGTGTATGAGTCAAAAATTGCCTTTCACACAAGGAAATGAATCCACTTTGATTTTATCTTCATGCAGTGTGAAAGTTGTGACTCTTTCATGCTAATATCCCACTATCAAGGAACACTGAGGCCTGGCTGGGCTTGCCTTTCTTTTAGTTACCCACCTCTCTAAACCATGAATTCATAGAAAGCTTTCTTAGGATTTTATTCTCCTTATGAAAAATTGCTTGGGATTATTATTGTCCGTGTATTTTCTGCAAAGTGACCTCTGTGACTTTCTCACAGCAAAAAGGACATCCCTGCTGTTAACTTCATCATCCATGAAATCCACTGTAGCAGAAATATTGAAGTATGCTGCTACTGCAGCGAATCCATCCCGAAGTCCGAGATGAAGAACCACATTGAGTCTGAGCACGTGCAGGTGAGACACAGATGTCTCCTCTAACATTGCTGACTTCTGGGGCAATTAATCTAATGAGGTTTTGTGTATTGTAGGTTACCTGCAAGTGTAGGATGAAGATGGAAAATGGTCTCCTCAAGGATCATGAGGTTGGTGGACTTTATATTATTAGACACTGGGAAGGGGTACTCTATGGTGTTTCCAAGCTCTGATTCTAGAGCCCAGACCTGGCTTCCAACCTGTGGTTGGAATCCGTTTTATTGACCTGTGCTTTCTAAATTCAAACCCTCGACAGAAGGTGATTGGAACTTTGCCTTAAAGTGGTGGAACCTGCTCAAGTCTATCAAAGGGGTACCTGTGATAATTGGTGATTTTGTCCTTATCAGCGATCAAGATGGAAAATGCTAATTAAGAAGTACAGAACATCATCAACTTGACTTTTCCCATTCCTTTAACATCACACAGTTCTGACTCTGCTGCACTCATTATGGGAGTTTTAATAACTCATAATGTCCAAACAGGCTTTGAAAATAGCCTGTAAAATGAATTAGACTAGGACACAGTGGGATGTCTGAGGTTCTGGATCCTGCTGGCTGCTGTCACAGGCAGTCCTGTGAGGAGAAAAGGATTTTCTTTAAGATAAGTCCCATTTAAACCCTGCAAGCAGCTTATCCTGCACACTTGTGTGTAGTGCTTTTAGTTTTGTTTGTAAAGCAAATGATGATGCATTATTGCAGCATCTGCAATTATGACATGTATATAATCCATGTTTAACCCCTTTTGAAGGGCAACTTAGCACTTACTTGTCACTCAGTAGGGTAAAGAACATAGTCCAGCAATTCTTGTTGAGTAGCAAATGAGCTGTAAATCTCTTCCTTAACAGAACAGGCACTGACATGTTTTTAGCAGTGCTCAATGAAATGTGATTAATACTGGATTTCAAGTCTGTATCTGTAACAAGTTCAGGACTGTAACTTCAAAAAGCAGGATGTGAATCTGCTGTCTAAGCAATACAGGTTAACAAACCCCCATCTGAGTACTGGGAGTGCTTCAGTTGGCACCTTTACGACTACACAGGTTACACAACACATTTTTCTTCCATTTCTCACATCTTATCTTATTCCAGGCTGTTCTTCAGCATAGCTTTGGGGCTGGCTAAAGAAACAATGGAGCACTCAGCTCCTAAGCAAACTGAGAAGCTCCCTTCACCTCTGCCTTCTGTAAGTGAAAAATAATCCCTCTGTTCTATCCCCAGGCGTCAGCGTGCCCTCTGCGTCCTGCCCTCTGCCAGTACTGTGACATACAGCTTACCTTCAAGGAGCTGCTGGACCATGAAGTTTACTGCGGGGCCAGGACTGAGCTGTGTGGAGGGTGCGGGCGTAACATCATGGTGAAAGATCTCCAAGAGCATCCTCGGGTCTGCGGGCAAGAGGTGAAGCAAGTGAGAGGAAGCAGAGCAGTGGCTCGCTTTGAGGATGAGGCTGTAGTTTTGAGTGCCCTTCGAGGTGTCAGAAGGCAACTCAGATCAGGTAACTGCACTGGGCCTGTGTGGAGAGCGCCCCAGAAAGCACATTTATAGCAGCTGTGTAGGAGAGAAAACCCTTGGGGACATTAGCAGAAGAACTATTTCAGCTGTAAAAAGAAAGCAAAAGGGGGGTAAGGTGGAGAGAAGAGCAATACCTGGCTTCTAACGTGACATTTGCCACTTGATCCAAGTGTAAGGTCTTGTAATTGCTTTCTGTGAGAATACTGAATCATGGAAGCTCCAGATGCACTGTGGGGCTGTTCTGCCAGGGAATAGATCTACAAAGGTGTAAGCCAGCTGGATGGAGGACTCTGAGGCACCAGGGGTGAAAGCCCAGTTCACTGCCTGTTCTTTTGTCTCTCAGTATCTAGCTTAAAAATGAAATTGGAGTTGTTTGCTCACTGCAAATTCTGTCCGTTTTCGTTCAGCAGCTGCACTGCTCTTCCTTCAGTTGTGGGTGGGTAAGAGCTGGACGTAGGTTCCCGTGTGTGCTACAGCACATTTCAGCAGGAACATCCTGTTTGGCCATCACTGAGACGATTATCAATGCCTCTGCCCTTTCCTAAGCCTCTAATCTCTTACCTCCACATGCATCACACTTCAGACCCAGCTTTTCCAGGAGCTGAATTCATGTTCTGCTATGGGCCACATGGAGGGTTTCACACTGCAGAATCCTAACTTATAGTCTTTGCTCAGCTGGTAGAAACAATGTCTGGGCTTAGCTAATAAAGCTGAATAATCTGTGGAGCTGTAGGCTGCTTACAGTAACTGCTGAAGAGTGTTCACAGGGGGTATTTTTATGCATGTGGGAGCTATATTTAAGATTCCCACATAATCAGTACAAATGAAATACCAGAGAGACTTGAAATAGGCCAGCATGGGTGAGGAGCACTGAGCGTGTCCTTAGGCATCATCGGCTGAACCTTGGGCCTGGTTTTCTTTTCAGCGGGGCTTTCCTACCAGAAACCATGGAATGGTTTTCTTCTGGACGTGTTTAATCCCCACTGTTGTCAAGGGTAATGTCAGTAAGAGGAATTTGGTTTCTCCTTGAGATACTGAAAACAGTGTTTCAGCCTCGTAAAGGGGATGACTACAGACTGTGGGTTGGACCTTGTCCACAGTGTAGGCCCCAGAAGGTTCCTCAGTGACCCTGTAAAGCTCCCAAGAAGCTTAAGTTCAAGCTTTTGGAGTAAGAGGAACAATTTCTTCTGTTTCTCCTTTTGGCTTATTACAAACAGAAGTAGGCTGACTGTTCACCCCCTTCCTCCTGAATCTGATACAGTGCTGAACCGTGAGTGTGCACATGCGAAACACTCCCGGTTGAGCTGTTCTGGTGTCCAGGAGGGTACTGCTTGTTGCTGCCTTAATGTTCTCTCAAATTGATGCTTTTCTTTTGAAGAGAATGAACTGGAGCAGTTGGGGAGAAGTGAAAGCGCCCATTCTGCACTTGACGAGGGGTGGAACCCTGACTTAGATTACGCGTTGGCTCTCAGCCTCCAGAATGAGGATCATCAGCACAAGAACACTGCAGCTGAAAGTCCCAGTGACTTCTGGGAGAACTGCTACACCAAAGAGTCTGTGTCATCTACCTACTGTAATGAAAGAGACGAGGTGGATGCCTTCTGTGACTCTTTCGTGCCTTCCAGCATGTCAAACATCAGCAAAAGTAAGTGTAAACGCTGTTGTTCCCTTAATGTTTGAGGGGAGGGAGAAGGAAAGAGAGGATTCCTGCACTGGGAATGTCAGAATTAGCCTCTTTGAGAGTCCCTCTAAAGCATGACAGCAGGGGAGGAAGAAGTCAAAGCTGTAGTGAATCCCCGACCTTGGTATGTGGCCGGAGCTTCATACCAACTGAGTAGGAGATAAACATGAAGGGAGGACCTGGGGGAGGCCTGAAGTGCCAGCTTGTGCTGAAAGGAGAAATGGTACTAAAGGGTTTATTAAAGGCAGTAATAGGCTTTTTTACAAGCCTATTTGACAGATCTTTGACCCCAAAACACTGTTCTCACTCCAAGTGATGTGAATTTGCTCATGTGGAATTCAGCAAGTGGGACCAGAATGACTGTTTCCATACTGTTTGCTCCAGTTGCTGCCCTGGTGCAGAGCAGGGCTCTGCTGCTTAGGGATTTTGAGGATAAGGCAGTCCAGCTGCATCAGCCTCCTCCATGGTTGAGGGTATAACTGTTACTTTGCAGATGAGATCATCATGTTGCCGTGTGAGTTTTGTGAGGAGCTCTACCCTGCTGAGGACCTGATTCTTCACCAGGTTTGGTACTTTCTTGGATCTAGGGGTCTTAGCAGAGCGTGGCTTTTCAAGTCAACCTGTGCTCAGCAGGAGAGCTAATGTTCCCATGTTCTTGCATACAGACAGGTTGTAACCCAGCAAGTGCCTTTGCCTCGTTCAGTAAAAGAAGTTCTTCTCCGAATCCATGGGAATACGATGGTCTGTGTGCTGGTGGGTCCAGAGGCTTTGGGTCTCTCTTCTCATCCCAGCTCCAAGCTGTCCAGGCAGAGGAAGATATTATCATTCCCTGTGAATTTTGTGGCATCCAACTGGAAGAGGAGACACTCTTCCATCATCAGGTACTAAACTAACCAGAGCTTGATGTGTTGTGTCACATCCAGTTGTTCAAGGACTATGGCAAGTCCTTGTTGTGGCATGTAACCATCCCCTGTGTCAAATCCTCCTAAACAAAGCCTCTTGGGTCCCTGTTAAAATGTTGGGCTATGCTGAGGCTCTCACTGAAAAATAGCTATTGTTCTGAAAGCTCAAAACTAAACAGAAGGCCCTGAAATTGCACAATATAAATGCTTGATTTGAACACAGAAGTGATGTTGAAACCAAGATGTATGAATCAGCTCAGGTGGGAGAGGAGCACAAGTGTGTAACCTGTGCCGGTGAGGGAAGGAAGTAGAGTACACACTGCAAATCCAGGAGGGTAGATGTGAAGAGAGAGGGTGGGTAAGGTGTGAACATACTGGAGGGTGTGTTGAGGAAGTGTTGGGTGATGCAGAGTATTCCAGTTCCTCACTGTTTGGTACTTCCCATGTGGAAAGAACACCAGGACCTGGCACTGCTGAAGCTGTTACTGCTGCCCCAGAACACTGAGCAGGTACCAAGGAGACCGTTTGGTGCTTCAGTGCTGCTGTAGACCTGAAGAGCAGATCCGGGGTGTGCAGGGAAGAGTCAGTCCTCTGGGATTTGCTCCTGTTCCAGCCAAGTGATGCAAACACATCTCTCACATTCTTACAGTCCTAACTAACCACTAGTGAAGCTGTTTGGTGTGCTTGTTCTGGGCCTTTCCTCTCCTAGGGCACAGTAAAATCACTACTAATAGGAATGAGAGCTGAGGAAGCTTATTTAAAACCCACTCCCTATTACAGTTGGCTCTTGGAAGGCTCTTTTTTTCCTTCACCTCTCTCACTGCTTTGGACATGCAAAAGCTGCTTTCTCTATGAGCTGCTGGTGCTTGTTAACTCTTAGTGACTGGAACCAAGTTGCGGCCATAGGGTTTGTTTGCAGACCACGTAAAGGACACCCCATGTTTAAACTGTTATGTTCCACACAGTGATTCCTGGTACCTGACAAAGGTACCAGATGGGTTTTCCTATCTAGTTCCTGGTTTTGCTCTGTCCCTTGAGCCTCTTCTCATGTTGATGTTCCTCAGTGTATTTCAACTGTGACTTTACAAGTGCAGCCGGCAGGGGAAGTTGTGTGGGCAGCATGGCTCAAAGCACTTTTAACTTGCTTTTTGTCCTTGGAGCCATCGTTTAAACACTCAAATGTGTGTTCTGCTCCAGCACCACTGTGACCTGCGCCCAGCCAGCCCCACCACCAGCTGCCCATCTTGGCAGCCACCATCTCCACAGGCCGGCAGAGAAAGAAGAGGATCAGCAGAGCTGGCTTGGAGATGGGCCCGGCCCCAAGGTGAGGGCAGAACAGAGGCTTAGCCCTGCTCTCCTTTACGTCTGCAGGAGCACCGCGTGTCCCAGGCTCAGTGTCTCGTGCTGTGTTTGCTGTTGCTATTCAGTGCTGTGTTTTGCCCTCCCAGGAAATGGTTCTGCTTGGAGCCCAGGCAGCTTCGGGCAGCAGGAGCTGAGCTGTCCTGCACGAGGGACCACATCCCGCAGTAGCGTGGCACACACCAGGAGCGCACCCCCAGCCTCTGCCCTGAGAGCTGGAGATGCTCCTGCCTCCAGAGGGAAGCCCAGGAAGGAATCTGGCAACGAGGGGAGGCCGAGGAGCAGGGACGCAGGCGAGCCTGCGGGTGGGATAACACCACGTGTGAGACCTGCTCAGAACTGCCATCCAGAAGGCTTCACATCCAGCATCTCCAGAGCTTCACCAGCCCAGCCAAGGTACCACCTTTCCTGTTTCAGGCCTACCCTAAGGGGTCAGGGGTGCTGGAGGAGCAAGCTTTGGAAGTAGGGGCACTGCCTTAGGTCTGGTGCATTCTGAGCCACAGCTGACAGTGACAAACCCACTCCTGTCCTCAGCCTCACTTCCCCACGGTCCAAATCTGGATTCCTTCCTGTTTATTTGCCTGTGACTGAAAAGATTTCACTCAGTTTAATTGGACTGGGGCTTGCCTGAGTTTCAAACAGCAAACTCAGGCTTTTATATCAAAACAGAATGGAGAAATTGGTCACTGGGAGAATACACAGGATAATGCTTCATCATCTGCCTGTTGCCACGCTCTCTGCTTCCCTCAGCACTCCTTGCATAGGATCTGGTTCTGTTCCTGCAGAGTCAGGGTGCAGAAGCATGAAGGGATTCCAGAGTCCCTGCTGGGAGGGCCCTGCAGCTGGGGGTAGGCTTTCCTGCCTCTGAATGTGTCCCTGTTCACCCTCCACAGGGCCAGCAATGGAGGAGGAAGGAGCAGTCCAGGCAGCCTCAGGTGCAGGAACACCAAGGTAAGGCTGGGGCTGGGAGGGCAGGGCCTGGCTGTTACCCTCGTGGTGGCTGCACCAGGACCACTTAGCCCTTCCAGCAAAGGTTTCATCACCTGCTTCTGACCAGGAGCTCTTCAACAACCTCATTTTTACTTTGTTTTCTCCCCTTTCCCCAAGGCCCAAGCCCGGAGCCCAGCCCGTGGACAGGCAAAGGAGCAGAGACCCACCACCAAAGGGAAGCACATTTAGCTCTGCAGTTACTGCACCCTCTACTACTTCTCTGAGCGCACATAAACTCCTCTATGGCTGTGTCATTGAAGGCTTTCTATGAGTTTAAATTTTTATAGGAAGTGTTATATATATATATATATATATAGCTGTATTTTTGACAGGGTATTATAGGCTTTTACTGCTGTGCTCTGCACTGGACCCCAGCCCAAGACAGCACCGTGGGCAGCACCTGCATTACGTTTCCATGGGGGCTCTTTGGGGCACCCAGTGAAGGAGTTTTTGCCGTTCAAGGCTGGGAGCTCAACCGTGTCCTTCACAGGGCAGGCTCTGGCTGTCACTGCACAATGGAGTCGGGGGTGGAAACCCAGGCGCTGGCTCACTGCATCCCCTGCACCAGCCCCTGGTGCTCCATACTGTGTCTGCCTGAGGTGCCTGGCCCTGGGTGCTCCCAAGGGGCACAAGTGAGGGGGTTCTGGGTGGCACAGGACAAGCCCCAATACTTTGCAGATACTTTCCCCTGCTCTGTTAGAGTCCAGGCTTTTAAAATTCCCTGTAATAAACTTTATCTGATGCTGTCCCCAGCCCCTGTGCAGCAGTGATCTGTTCTGAAGCAATGTGTGACAGGCACGGTGGCCATTCACATTGCACTCTTCTTACCTGCAGCAGGTCCTTGCTCGTGTTCTCATCCCTTGTGCTGTGGGAACAGGTAATGGAAAAGCTGGAGGTCTTAAATAATGACTGTGGGCATCAGCCTAATGAATCAGGTAGCACAGATGGCATGAATAGGGCTAATGAGCCCATCACTCTTCAGGGCTGGTGCTGGAGGCCTTGGCAGTGCCACAGCACAAAGAGTGACAATGATGCTGCCACCAAACTTCAGGGTTTCTTTGTCCAAGAAAAGCAGAATAAAGGTATTTAAACTCAGTGGCAGCTCTGGGGAAAGCCACTGTGGCTCAGCAAAGGGCTTCTGGGGTGGGTAAAGAGATGTACTGGCACAACGGTGCAAGACATTTCCGTTTCTGATTCAAGTAAACACAAGTTACAGCATCCGGACCCCAGAAAGCGGGATTTCAAAGCAGGCATCCTGCAGCCCGAGCAGTGCAGGGTTTCTTTAATCATCTTTACTGATCCCCAGCCCCAAAGAAGGACACAGGACAGGCGAAGGGAGGGCAGGAATCACCTTTATGCAGTGTACACTCCATGGCCAAGAGCACTGACCAGGTTAACGCCGTGTGCAGGAGCATCCAGCTGGAACCACGGCCCCGCTCCAGCAGTTTGCCATTATTTAAGGATAATTTTACATTCTGAATGAATATATATTAAAAAATAATAATAATCATCACAAACCAATCTTTGCTTTGACAAACAAGCCTATTACAGACAATGTCGAGTTCATTTAAAGCACGAGGAAGTAATGATGATTAGAAAAGCTTTAATTAAAAGGCCATTTGAGCGACAGTCGAACCGCTGCAGCGCTTCCTTCCTTGGAGCATAGAACCCTGGAGCCACCCTGCCCCAGCACAGCTCAGCTCCAGCGTGGGCACCCTGCTCCTGAAGGAACTGGAGTCCATGAAGGGTGGTCCTGGCTCAGCAGCTTCATTTACACCACGAGGTGTAAACGGCGTCGACCAAGAGTTCGTTATTTGTCATCATAAATAATTACTGTAATAAATACGGATCAAGTAACGGGACCGACGCTGCTCGAGGGCAGGCAGGGGCTCACGGGAAGGAGACGGGCAGCAGCAGTTCCTTGTTCACGGCAGCAGCCACGGTGGGAAGCACCGGCACACCGAGGTCCGTGCCCGCCGGCCCCCCCCGAGCAGCCCAGCCTTGGAATGGGAGATTTACACCCGCCACAAACCAACCCGCAGAGAGAAACCCAACCGACATCCCACACACATCCCAGCAGCACCGGCCTGGGAACGCGCATCCCAATGGGACTAAGCCGCTGCGAGCCGTTCCTTCTGCTTAGCTTTGTGAACTCCACGTTTGCGCTTACTCCCAGTGACTTCTCAGCTACATTGATGCTTCTACCAGGAAATGGACAAGGATCAAGAGTAAATATTCCTCCTCTGTGCGACCGTTCCTTGGCAGGGGCAGGACACAGCGGAGGGTGACAACAGTGTTCCTAACCACGGGATTCAGAGACTCCGCACGCCACCAACTACCTCTACAACTGGTGCACACGTTCCATTCGCTCACACCAGGGATACACACACACCCGTGCAGGCTTTGCTCCCTTACTCACGCTTCATCTTCCACGTTCCACACACGCGTCATTCCCAATATTCACAATAATATACAATAAATACAGCTGTTCCACTCCCGTTACCACCACCGAGCCCCATCAGTGTACGGTGCCTTTAAAGAGACGGGGTAACACCAACCTGGAGGCGCAGTGACACCCGCACCAGTGCTGACCTTCACGTGCTTGATGTGTGCTGAGCACGGAGGAAGGGACGGGCCGATGCTGAGCTTCACTCCCGCGGTGCTGAGCCGAGCAGCAACGTCCATCATCGCTCCTGGTTCCTGCTTGCGCTGGGTTCCAGGTGCTGACCACAGCAACGCCATCCTTGTGCAGGGTAACGTGGTACAACGGGTTGATGCAGTGCCTTGAAACCGCCCCTAACCGTGTCTCACCCCGTACAGGAGTTAACTGAAGGGAGCTGTTCTCTCTCCACAGTCTGCTGTTATAATACATAGAAGCTTTCTCTCCAAAGGAATGAGTCGGTGCCTTCCCCCGCCGCATCCCCCTCCTGGTGCCACGGTGCCAGGAGGATTTGTTCTTGGATCATTTGTGAGTACAAAGTGAGCTCCGGGTGCCTCGCCACGCGCTGGTCCTTCCTTCGGGATGAGGATGAAGTCGCAGAGGTGGAGCTGGGACTGTGCCTCTGGCCCCGTACAGAGAGGAGCCGGTTTGTTCTGCTCATGTTTTAATCACAATCAATTACTCTGTGACGAAGCCAAGCAGAAGCCAAGAACATCGAGGGCAAGAACCTGGCTCAATCACAGCCCTTTCACTGTTCTCTGTTACAACTCCTCCTCACCAAAGCGTCCACCTGGAACCAACATGGACCGGCAGCGACGCCTGCGCTTGCTGCTTGGTTAAATACAAGGACAAGGCAGCGGCAGAAGTGACCCAGCCTGAGCCCAGAAGCTTCCCACAGACGTTGCGCACGGTCTCTGCCCGCAGCAGGAGCGGCCCCAGCTCCGCTCCCGAGGGAATTCCCTCCCAACACCCCGGCATTCCCAAGTTTTGAACTCAAAACACGCTCCAGGGGGGAGCGATCCAGGAGCCTTCACCTCCGAGCGCTCCCGGTCTTGGGGCCCCCCTCGCTTGCGTGGTGTTGGCAATGGGGTGATCTCCTTCGAGGTTACAGGATTAGAAAGGGGCATGGGGAGAGGCGCCTCGGAATTCAATCAGACACAAACTGGTCTTTACTGAGCTATCCTACAAATATTCCACAAACAAGGCAGCGAAAGAACCAAGTCCACCACAAAGTCTACAAATACAAAATATCCTCCGGGAATCAACGGGAACAGAAAAGGTCAGGAAATAAATTAACCTCTGACTCCTCCCCCAGCGTCACGGGAGGCGTCCGTATGGGAATCGAGGGGTTTCCGACGGTGGCGGTGCCTTGGGACCATCCACCAGGCCCCTGCAGCTCCCTCAGCCGCTGAGGGGATCCTCGCGGTAGTGGATGGCGTAGCGGAGCTTCTCCAGCATGATGTCCAGCGAGGAATACTGCGGGAGCTTGATCATGAACATGCACGTCTCGACGCGGATGTACCGCGAGTCCGGAGAGCCTGCGGGGAGGGGGCCACAAGGGGTTGGATGCACCAGCACTGCCCATCGCTGCCAGAGCCCCCAGGGAGAAGCAGCAGCGTCAAACCCCAGCCTCTCACATGGGTCCTGAACCTTCCGTGCTGCCCCGCAGCCCTCGAGCCAACGGCCTTCCCAATCATTTTAACAGCATCCCAGACAAACACTGTGTCAAGTCTCTCAGTGTCCTTAGAAGGCAATGTTTTACTTTAAAATTTAAATGAATTTAAATTAAATTGTATTTTTATACAGTTTAAACCCAACTTATCTCCTTATTTACAGCCAGAACAACCTGCCACTCTTCACAGAATCACAGCCTGGTTTGAACTGAAGGGACCTTAAAGCTCATCCAGCTCCAACCCCTGCCATAGGCAGGGACCCCTTCCACTGGAGCAGCTTGCTCCAAGCCCCTGTGTCCAACCTGGCCTTGAGCACTGCCAGGGATGGGGCAGCCACAGCTTCTCTGGGCACCCTGTGCCAGCGCCTCAGCACCCTCACAGGGAAGAGCTCCTGCCTAAGAGCTCAGCTCAGCCTCCCCTTGGGCAGGTTAAAGCCACTGCCCTTGGCCTGTCCCTGTGTGTCAGTCATTGCACATGGAACACCAGTTTGAATGGGGAACAGGGGAGCTGTGAGCAGGACGGGTTCTCTCCCTGGCAGCCCCTGGTCACTCACCTGCAGCTCCATCAGGGGGGGCGATTTTCATGGGGTA